GGCCGCAGTGATCGATGTAGCGGTTCCCAATGACAGCAACATCAGGAAGAAGGAACACCAATATTAGAAAAAATGCTGGTTTCAAAGATTTTTCAGGCAAATGTCAACACAGTGGCAAAGATGTCGGAGAATCATAGGCCTCATCTTGTATGAAGTTTCTGGTGATCCATCAAAAAACTGATTGATGAGACATTTAGGCTGTAAGAGTGAATGTGAGCATGGTTGTCTGCCTCTCTGTGTTAGCTATGCAAAAGACTGAGAACCTGTCCAGGTCCTCTCGGCCTGTGACAGCTGGTACAGGCTTCCCCCCTGAACTGGATAAGTGCTTAAGAAAATGGATGGATGGACAAAGCTGCAGACAACAGGTTAATGATGCCATAAAGCCATGCTGCTGTATGACTAAATATGAATCCAAGAAATAATAGACATGAACATCTGAAAATATCTCTCAAAACATTCATATAAACCAATCAGAGCAGTCCAGCCTCTTTCTCTTATAGATTTTCCTTTGTGTTTTCAGTGTGTGAGCCTTTCAGCCATGATGACTGTGCACTCCTCCTCCACCAGCTGCACATTAGTATTCAAGGCACAGATGAGGAGGAGCTGGAGTATGACGGGTTGGAAAACCAATCCTGCAAACACCTTGTGGGTGGTGTGAGCGATTTTCCTGAAAGGTAAATACAAATCAGAGACACAATCAGGGAATTTGGGGAAAAGCCACTGGAGGACAGCTCGGAAAGACAGACCTTCGATTTCTAGCCTCGACCTTTAGAAAACACACACTTTTTCTTGTTTTTTCTTTTTCTTGGGTCTGATCGATTTCCCAATGTGACCTTTGCATACCAGCAAGCAGCCCAGTTCATCCTCAAGCAGCTGAACTGTGAGCTGAGCTTTCCCAGAGGTTTGGCAAGATGAAGAAACAAAAACATAAAACAACACATTTCCTCTCAGAGCTCGAAGCGAAAAGGAACAACACGCATCTGTTTAATGGCCACTATAACCAGACAGTATCTCACAGTGCAACACAGTTTCAGTACCTTCTCCCTCCTCTCGATGCAAAGCTTGATTAGTGCCTGGGCTGACTTATTTTGAAGTAAACCGCTGATGTCAGTGTACCCAGTGTAGCTGAAGAAATCAAAAAAGCACCTTGCCTTAAATGTCAAATTTGAAAACATAAAAAATAAATAAAAAACATACATTAGTGCACAGCTATAAATACTCATTAGAACGTAACGTGTGTATCAACAAATCAATTCCCAATCCATCAAAATAACCTCAATAAGAGAAGCTATATATTATAATTTAAGACAATCCCAACCTGAGGGGTTATTTCATGTCCCTGGCTTGTGAATTTGAATCTGGGTGCTAAGATATGCAGGTAAGCGTACAGGCTGCTTCTAATAATGCCCACACGTGAGAGTGTTTCTCTGGATATCGGTCAATGCCAAATCCATTCCAGGGCAAATTTGTAAAGGTTTCCAGTCGGCTCGACAGCCTTTGTATTATAACTGAAATTATATAAAAATCTATTTGGATTTACTGATAAATATCAAAACTACATAATACCAAGGACTGTGTCTTAATATGTTAGGCTGTTTGAAGGCTGTGCTACTGCTGTCAGCGGTTCAGTGAATGCTGCTATACAGGCTAAATGTCTCTCTAGCGCACATAAAGGTCTTTTTACTCATTTTGTTTTCCTCACATTGGCCCAATAACAAAAAACTCTGGATTTAAAAATTTCTCTGTGTTCTTGAGAAAACACAAGACAACCGACATCTCTTAAACTGAAGCATGTTCCCGTAATTTCCTGCTTCCACTGAGACACTGAGCATCAGGCACAGAGGGTAAGCCTACCCTTAGGTTGAATTAACCACAGAACACACAAGCAGAAGTGGAATTATCAGAACACCACCTGTGATACAATAATTGAAAGTGGAAGCGAGTGGATTCTGTAATGTGCTTTAATGCAGTTTTCTGAAGGACTGAATGCATGGATAAGCTCTTAGACCATATTCAGTTACCTTATGGGCAACATCTGACAGACACATATTATTTTACAGGCTGTAGACAAATTCAGCA